CGCGGATATTCAATTTCTTTCACCGACTTTCCTTCGTTCTTCCATCTTTTTCGGCAGCCACGTCATCGCGAATACTCGTTACGTCGACTGAACGATCTCCGATCGCGTTGGATAACGATCGACTCCTATCCTCTGCAAACCAGCCTCGCGAACTTTGATTTCTTGCGAACCTTTCACCGATCCACGATTTCCGCGATTAGGTTCGTCGAACGCGTCGGTGTTTAAACGGTTAACTGTGAAATCTAGTTGGAAAAATCTCTCGTTCTGCGCAATAAAATAAAAAAATGACCCTTTGCACTCGAAAGGTGACTCCCATCATTTGATTCGATACAGCAAAACTATGAAGTTGAATATTCAGTATTTCCAATGAAAATTATATTTTGCAATGTGAAATATTTGAATGAAATAGCTTTGCTGCTTAATTTATCCGTGAATTCTCGTTAAATTTCAAACAATGTCGTCTTTATCTGATCAGAAAATGTCCAAATATTTCTACTGAGAGACTTCCGAGTGCAAAGGGTTAATGAAAGGTCAAAGAGAAACAAAGAAGAATTGCATGTTAGATAATTCATGAAAGAATTAGTATCGTGTCAAGCTTTATGACCTTGTATACTCGTCAAACACAGTTAACTGGTTAAACGGTCGAACTGTATGGCAGCCGAACAGTGAAACCGAATAGAAAAGTACGAGATTACGGTAAATTAGGCTCGTCGAGGACTTCGGTTTCTTATTTAATAAGTCAAGCGAAACTTCTGTCTCCTCGATAACTTCGGAAGGAGGAAGAAACGACGTTACTTATCCGGTTCTAGCGCCAAATGTGCCCGAGATCGAGAAGAAACCGGAAGCTCGTGATTGATGCGCGCAGTGGAAAGCCTCGGGGCAGAAGAATGCGTTTCCCAGATGCGACCGACGCGGGGGCCGGCTTTTCAGACGTCGTACAACGGTAGTACCTTTCACCTTTCCCCGCGCAATTGTACAAATTTGAACTTCCTACAATGATAATGGAGCAGCCGGCGCGGCCGGAGGAGAAAGTCGACGAATTCGCCTCCGCGAAACGACTTTTCCCCTCGGAAATTGGGGGGAACTGGCGGAGTTCTCACCGGAAATAATGAGCGTTGCGAAATAATGGGACCTCCACGAAATTCTACGTTTGTCCACGAACGGGATCCAGCTTGGAACTTTCCAGCCGACGGTGCTTCCGTGTCGCGAAGAATGAGATCTCGACTGTCATCCGTTGTCTTCCTGTTAACCCTTTGCACTCGAGAGGTGACTCTCACTCACCACGTGGTTTCATACAGTAAAGCTATAAAATTTGATATTGTAGACGCGTAGGTTAATATTGATGTTAATTTCATGGACGCGATGAATGGGTTGTATGCGTTGTTTTGAATGAACGCGAAAAAAAAAGATATTAAAAAAAACGAAGTTTGTGTTGACAACGGAAAATATATACGAATTGTCATCGTTTTAATAAACGTCTGTGATATTTAATATTATACTTCGTATAACGCATCAATTTGAGAAATATTGAAATGCAGTATAAAATATGTATGACAGATCGAACTGTGTTGTCAGCTAGAAAACTTCAAGCGTAGGATTAAGCGATATTCTGAAAAATATCTAACACGGTGCTTCGTTACCCGAACGTGTTCAGAGTCTTTCAGACGAATTAGCCTCCCGGGCGCATGGCTAATCGTAAGTTAGAAACTCGCCTCGTCAGAGTTATCCGATACCGTTCGTTCGTATCTGGTGATCGCACGAAAGACTTCTTCCTCGTAACGGGATATGTCGAAAGTGGTGTGGTAAGAACCAGTTTCCTCCTCTTTAGACAGTGTTTACCGAGTCGACTGTTTCATTGTGAACGGATTATTGTCCGTAGTATCGGCAGCCGATCGGATTATCCGCGAGCATAGTCATTTACAGTGAATTCTTCAATCTTCTCAATATTCCACGTTTTCCTATCGTTGACAGGTCCTTTTCATTCGACAGATCACATTAGTGGATCGAGTACGGAAGTATTAGGCTACCAAAACCCAGCGACATCACAACTGACGATTAGTATTAGATGATTCCACGAGTGACGCCGTTCTTTCATGTTAACTTCTCAATTTTTCATTCATTCTTTCTCGCTACTTTCGAAGGAGTTCCGTGGCGTTCCATTAACACGTCGAATGTCATGGCGTCGATGCAATTCCCTCGATTAAACGATTATTTGAAAACATTTCTGCACTGTGAATAATGTTTTAATGCGGTGGCATTCAGTGAAACAAACCTGCGACAATAACAACGGAATTTAATAGATTTAGAACGGAATATAAAAGATTCGTAAGAAACGACGTTACTTATGGGACAACCTAACAATCGTGGACCAAGCGAAACACTCAAACATTCTCCGAGCAGTCACGACAACCGAGAATTTCCTATACGGAAAAGTTCGATGATGCAACCGATTGACAGGTTGAACTAGTTGGAACCGCCGCTTTTCGACGACCTCACGCGACATCAAAGTCCACCGAGGGAAACGAACCGTGACCGTTACTCCTTTCCCTCGATTTTTCCATGACATGCCTTTCTTCTCTTTTATTCGTTGACCTTTTCATTGGCGATACTCTATTCCTTCCTACAGCGAGAAAACCAGTAGCAGCGAGCTGCGAGAATCACGAACGATGGGAATAATAAACTAACGCGAAGAGCAACTAGAGCATTAACGATCGTAGAAATTGAGTCGCCGCGGAGCAAAGAAAGTGCTCGACGATGCGTCCCTTGATCTCGTCCCGATCGACCGCCCTTCTTCCGCGGCGATAGGACTCGTCGGTTCTCTGTGGTTCTTAGCCACGGTGTTCTCCTCGCCGCGCGTTTCTCCGGTTTCGCGAAGGCGAAGGGACAGCCTTGACACACTAAACCCTTTCACCGGTAGCCGAGGAGCGTAATTGTTGAAAGTATACAAAGCCTGCAGACTCTGCTAAATTAAATTCTGAATGCTTAAATCATAGAGAATAAGGAACTGCGCACTGATTTCTCGCTGTTCGAACAGTTAAATCATTTTTTGGTAACTCGGTATTCCAAACGTGGAGATTTGACCTCAGCAAAATTCCGACATTCGTTCGCAAAGGGTTAACGCGACGGGGAACGTTTCGAAAAGGGATCATCGACAGCGAAGTCCTCGACGCGAAGAGAGCATAAGTTCTATTCTCGGGTATTGCGTGGTCTCGAATACACCTGGCGACATTCTTTTCGCATACTTGTCGCAATCGATGCAACCAAGCGTTTCCTATCAATGTCCATTTGCGTGGAAAACCCGGCAATCTGTTCGAATGGAATTAATTTTAGGGCTTCCGTAGTAAACAGACGTGTAGGTAAACACTGAGAAGCCGAGCGTTCGGTCATCCGAGCCATCGAATAGACCTATTATTCAGTAATTTTATATTCTAGATGCGAAACGTCGATGTCGGCAATACGGGGAAATCCATCGTTAAAGGAGCAATTACCCAGGGAACGAGTCGAACGCGGAAGATCGGACCGATCGTCTATCGTTAAGTAGATTCGATCGTTATCGAGCGGGAACTTTCGAAAACGGACGAAAACGGTCGGATCCGCGGAAAAACCGGCATTGACCGAGGGAGGAAACGCGCTGAAAGCGATTCGTTGTCGCAACTAGCCGTCCTTTGTGTCGCGAAAAGTGAAATTTCGCGAAGAAAGTAGGCAAACCGGGAGGAAGGCAGATGTTCCAGCCGTGGCCGGCCTCTCCTGCCCCGACTCTCGATTTCCTCGTCGACGAAAGTGAATCGTCCAACGAAGCTCCTCGATTCGTTCGCCGCGAGCGTCGCTGTCACCTCTGCCGCGGAACGAGGCACGCGAAAACCGATCTTTCGTCGAGGAATCCGTTCGTAGAATCAAACCGAGCTTGTTTATTCTCGTTATTCTTTCTATTATCTGCTTAGAAATAGAAATCGCACGGATCGCACCGTTCGGAGTCCTTTCGCGAGACGATAGGGAAGCGTGAATCGACGTTCGAGAAAAGAAAGAAGCTCGGCATTTTCGACCAGATTTTTGCGAAGACGCTCGAAGGCCGACTGCTGCGGACCCGGCAATTACGTCCGTTCTTACGCGTAACTCGTACGCTTTCTATTTGTATAAGGAATTTTTATCCGCGCGACCGAGACGAGTGTCGCGCGCGGTTTCGCAACGGGCTCGGAAAAAAGACATTTTTTTTCAAATCTAATGGAACTCTTTCTTCATCTAATAAATTATGAATGCAGCGGCCGCGTCGGTCGCGGTTGCGAGAGAAATCGTGAGAGAAGAGGGTTGATCGACTTATCGAGTAATCTGTTAGTCCTCTGAGTTTCTTTCACTGTCTGGGCGTAAAGATGGCGGGACGCTGCGTTAGAAAGATGGCACGACACTCGTGGAATAAAGTGACTCGACAAATATCACGCATCCATCATATATTAACCCTTAGCACTCCAGGTTGTTTTGTAATCTATCAGCGACTGCTACTAATTTTCATAGTATTCCTAGCGAAAATTAGAAATGCTATAACATTTCTTCGATCGTTTATTTTCCTTGTTAGTACAGAATTTGGATGTGTGGAAAATCGAATAATTTCAGGGTAGTTTCTTTAAGATTCATTAAAATATATAATATTATAACTGGTGCAATATTAGAGCCTGCAGAGTTCAAAGGGTTAATACTAGATTCACTTGTACGGTTTATTCTATTGTCTCTAGAAAAATGTATGATCGTTCGCTCGGATCTTGAAAAATTCTCACGTACAGAATATTTATACAGTATGAAATGAACATAAAGCCAGCGTCAACGAAGCGGAAAACTTAACACTAGATTTACGGAACTCGATTCGTATTAGCGCAAGTATATATCCTAATTTCTGAGATCTAGATGAACAGATATCAATTTTCCTAAGAACAATAGAACAAACTGTACAGTAAACGTCGGTAAATCTATTGTTAAGAGATTATACAACCAAATAATCTGTAATTTACCTTTCAGAGCCCATCCCTCGTGCCGTTTCAGTCCTCGGATGTACCTGGTCAGGTCCTTGGCGCACTGCTCGCCCACAGGATATCTTCCCTCCGTCCAGTTGCTGGCAAGATGACGCACATTGAACACGTCCAGCGCCTCCGTCAGGGTGGTCCAGTTTCCACCCGACAAACCGTCGACGTCCGACCAAGTCCTCGTCCGCTCGGTGGTCGGAAGATCCTGCGCGGGATTCAGCGACACGTTCGAAGGCGATTTCGCGGAGCAAACCGCCGCGAACGCGAACAGAACTAGGGCCCGCGAACGACTCATTGTCCTAAGAATATTTATTCCACCGATTACACGCTGGCCAATTGAGAAAATCGCTCTGAATTCGAACTTCAACCGGACATGGTCAGCTGTGTCGAGCTTCGCCGAAGTGTCCTTCCGTCAAGATCCGCGGTTTATCACAGTCAGTTGGAATACAAGCCGTCGAGTGTCACGAACGAGCGCGACGCGTCTTCCGAATGTTCCGAAAATATGGAGACGGTGATTGTTCACTGGAGAATGTTCAGGAGGACGCGTATCACGTGAATCTTCGCGGTCGCGTTGTCCGTTGCTGGGGTGTCTGCTCGCGCTCCACTTCCGTTCTCATCGTGAATGACACCGGCGGGTCGTCCGAAGAGGAACGAGCGTGCACCGTTCACGCGCGAGACTGTGCCCTGCCCCCGGAAAGATCGCGAGCAAAGTCCTCTCTGGCCCTTCGCGGTCCGTGGAACTGGTTCCTGTGGCCCCCGTGGCACGTCTTCCTCCACGTCCGATGGCCAAGAATCACCTAGAACGACGCGGCTGGCAATGGTAGAAAAATGACCTCGCCGGATGAATATCTTGGTAGTAATGAAAGTGCTAGAGAAATGGTGGGGAGCAAACCTCCCCGGTATCGAAAAGTGAACGCCATTGGCGAGACACGTTCGTCCGACACGCGGCGAGGCTTTAGCGCGTTCGCCGGTGTGTGATCACCGATGATCGCTGCTTAATGTTGATTAAATTACGAAGATTGTCGAATAGAAATGGTTTAGCGTTTGCGTTTAACACGTTGAATGTTGTGGGAGTCATCGGTGATCTCCGACTGAATTGAATTACTATAGTTCACTCGAAACATTTCTATGTTACGAATAATATTACCTGATTTCGTGACATTCAGATAGAAGAACGTATAATAATAATAATAATAATAATAATAATAAGAAGAAGAAGAAGAAGAAGAATGCAATTCAATAAAATTTTGCGTAACATTTGCGTATTTTGCTTTATAAAATCGGCATTCAACGTGTTAATGATCGTGGGAGTATTAGCTAAATGGCCGGATACAAGAAAGTTCCCCTATAATAGTGTTCACCTTTGTTTCAACGCTATTTATCTTTGACATAGAAGAATAATATTTTATAATTATAATATAATAATAGCCTCCGTAGTTAGTACGATTTCGCGTAACGAGAACAGAGGTTTAATTGGAAAAGTCACCGAACGTGTCGTCGTATCACGCGAGTTTATTTAAACTTTCCTCGCGTTGTTCGTTAATTGAACAGCTGCGAAGTGATAATTAAATCTTTTATGTTATATTCTTACGGTCAGGGATCGTGAAACTTCAGTTAAATTTAATTCCCTGTATCGACGGTTTCGACTAATCGGGAATAATGCGAGAGATCCGCGAACGTAATTTCACCGTGCGTAATAATGGCGTAAAACAGACCGTATTTACATTGCTGCTGAAAAGTAGGTGGACACTTTCTTATTCCCCGCGATTATCCGATGAAAGTTACGGCAGATTTTCATTGCCGGATGAACCTTTATTTATTCCGATGGGTATCTCGATGATTGATACATCGGGGAAAGATAGATTCGGAAGCAGGAAGCGCGGTACACTTGTCGAAGCGAATGAATAAGCACCCGTTGCTCGTGGTTCCCTCTTTTCTTCGATTGCGCGCGTCGGGTAAACGTTACATGATCGATTCGAATCTTCGGGGTTTACACGCGTTACAAAAAATATGTAGGAGGAAGCGTCTCAGCTCGTTAAAATTAGAAAGCAGGAATCCAGTTTTCGGAAACGAGCGGCGGCGGTGTTTGAACAAGCGGCTGACCTTTGCGCGGCCGCCGCCTCTTCTTCCGGCGATATTTTCGCGCCGGTGTATTTCGGTGTCCCGCGTCGGAACCCGATTCGCCGGCGGAAAAAATCGTATCGCTCGCGGACGCGGAGCAATCTTTTACACGTTTGAACTGCACGCAGCTCCGTTCAAGAAAGTAGTGGATTCCGCGATGATTAATTACAAGCTCAACGGCGGAAGACTGAGCAGCCTTGTTAAAATTAATCGATCGCCGAAGATTAGCTAACACGTTGACCAACGCGAGAATCTCGAACGCTCTACTAACTGTTCTTTAACAAGCAGGAAGAGTTATCAATTATTTGGTACCGCGACTACGTTGCTAATGATTTTTATTCCTGTAGAAATCTTAATTGTTCCTTTAGTGACAGTAAACAAGAACAATTATCGATTATTCGATATCTCTTATGTACGCCATTGTATAGTCACGTTACTAAATATTTTTCATGTAGAAATCTTCTTATTATAATAATTGCCATGTGATTCGGAAGTGCCGGTCATCGAAGCGCCACCGCGGCGTTCGATGGTAATGCGAAGTTAATGACAAATTACGAGAAACTTAGCGTCGCGCGCAAGTTTCACTAAGAAATTTCATGCTATTACAGGCGTGTTTCTCTTTCTCCGGTGCCACTTTCGTTGAACGCAGTTGGTCGTGCTGAAATTCGTCGTTTCTTTAACACTAGAGATACCGGTCGAAGAACTACCTATCTGAATTCTTATTGCACAATTTTTCAAACTCATGAACAATTCTGCGAACGATTACTAAGCAGATCTGTTGTATTTTTATGAGCAATCTGTTTTAATCCTTTTAACAGATTATGGAACGATTAATCTAATTGCTCGGTAGTTCCAGTGTTAACCCTTTGCACTCGACAATATTTTTCATTAAAGATATTCATTACTTTCTAACTAAATATTAACGATATTTTTCGCAACTATCACAATTGATTATCTCATATAAATTAAGAGACAGAACTGTTTTACTTCGATGTTTTTTGTGTTGATACAGTACACAAGGTTTAATATTGAATTAAAAATTTTATAAGTCTGCTGTGTCGAATCAGGTGGCGACTGTAAGGCGCTCCTCGAGTGCAAAGGGTTAACTTAATCGCCCTTCGAGAAACCGCGTAGAATACTCAGACGTATTCGAATGCGAAAGAATCTGCCTCTTATAAAACGGTCGCCGTTAGATTTTCCAGTTAGCTCGTCGAGAAAGTCATAACGCGATCCGCGACGAGACACAGGCGACTCGTATTCGCGGCGCGCGTGCCGCTGGAACGCGACTCGCTTGAAAATGAAACGCGACTCGTTTTCGGGGGCGTTGTTCCGCGCGTGAACCGTTCCTCGCTCGCGTGTGCCGCTTGTTACACGGCTGGGCAAAGATCAACATCTCTGACCACCGTGATCGTTGGACTGCCAGTCAATTCTCGACATTTGTATAGAAACTCGAAGAGTACGTCCATTGTTTCCAACTCGAATACGCGCGTCATCGAATCTTCCGGCGTCCGTGATCTTTCGAATAATTGTAAAGGAAGCATTCAGGAATTCAGGAGTTGCGCGCAACTAATAAAAGAGCGGATACAATACGCGTATCTCTTTTAAAATCGACTGAGCGGCCGTGTTTATGTGCGTGCCGATCGCATGATCGCTTAAACGAGTGGCAGTAACTCGTTTAATAACGCTCAAACTGGTAGTAATAACAAGAGGATTGTTAAGAGACGACGAGTCTGGTTTCGGCTATAACGTTATTTTACTACGCAGCGGCGGAAGCGTGATCGGCCGATCGATTCCGAAAGTTTCCTGCGCGTATGATCGGCCCGTATAGATATTTTAATTCGAAATTTCTCTTTCGTTAGACTCGCATATTCATTCTGTGACGCAACCCGTCGTCGTCGGGTGAAAACCGAGCAGATCGGAGCGCCGAATTTCGACTCACCGCGTTCCCAGAAACGAGGAACCAAAGTCCTCGGGACGATTAACACGTTGAGCGCCACGAAAATCTTAAGCGTTTTCCCATAGAGTAGGAATACTTATGAATTGTTTGACGTTGCAACGTTTGCGTTACACTATCAACTTAGTTACCTTAAACATTTTTATTTCACATCGGTTGTCTTGTATGTTACGATTGTTTCTTAGTCATTCAGAAGCGTCAGTCACCAGTGGCTGACATGGCGCTTAACGTGTTAAGGACCTTCGTCGAGTCATTTTTCGGACGATCGGGACGAAGGTCCAAGGCTGGCCTTTCGTCACAGTCGCGTCCGCGTTCGCACAGCGGTACAGCTGCTCGGATAGAAATTTATGAACGATACGAGGGAGCGACGCCGAGGAAAGGTGGAAAATAAAGAAACGAAGACCTTCCGATTCGATGAAACATTCGCCGCCGTTAGTCTCAAGGGCACCGTTCCCATTTCGTTTCCGAAACTACGGCTCGCGCTTATCGCGAGGCGGATCGGCCATTTGAATTAATCGCTCATGCATAAATTTATGGATACTGTTTGAACGCTGGACAAGTTTTCCTTGAAGCCGTTCGTTGCGTTCGTATTCCGTGTTTGCTTGTGTGAACTCCTGCGTTTTAGGCGACCGATTACCGAAACTCGCTTCTTTCTCCTTTTTCATCCGGAATTGTATCTTCCTCCGCAAGCTCGGCGTCTGTTTGGGAAGTTGCTTCGGGATGACTCGGCAGATGACAGGTCCATCGTTTTCTTATTTCTCATCGAATGTGGTTTACGCAACATTGTTGCGCCTGTTTTGTACGGGACAGTCCTGCGAAGGTGGAACGATCGTTACTTGGTTACGCGCGAGTTGAAACTAGACGTCTTTCTACTTCTTCCAAGCTCGCATTGGATGGCAGATCCTCAGTAAAGATACCATGGGCGCTTCGAAGAGCAGACTGATAACGAACGACACGACGTAGCACGAGACCGTGAATCCCAAGAACAGGATCACCTGTAAAACACCTGTGCTCAGCGATCCTTGAGAAATGGAAATCATTCGGAGATCTTTCGAATTCCCCGGTGACTCGATTCTTTTGCGAAAAGGGAAGGGACGTGTCATCTTATTGACGCTAGAGTTACCTGAAGAATCGAATTGACTCATTCCTGAATTCTTCTTCTTTAATTATTAACACGTTGAATGGTGTGGGGTCACCGGTGGTCCCATAAATCGAATTATAATAGTTCAGTGAATTAAACGATGATTATTTGAAAACGCTTCTATATTATGAATAATGCTAGTGATATTCAGCTGGGCGAATATAATAATGATAGTCCAGTTCTACCGAATAATTTAATATTAAATTTTCAACGTGTTAAAAATATAGACGCTGCTTTGAAAAATTACTGAAGAAATTGATTCAGTGACACGCAAACTGAATCATACGTCAATGAGGATCTCAGTAGCCGCGCTGTTGGATTTCCTGTAGAAGAATTTTGAAAAGACAATTCGACTGTCGGTGGTTCTAGCGTTAAGATGAAATTTGAACGTGAAGCGAGCAGCACTTTCTCCGCAGAGGAGCGGTGAAAGGGTCGAAGGGGGAAAGAAATGAAAAGTGAGGATAGGTGGGGGATTAATCATGTCAGAGAGGGAAGCGGCGGGGAGTATCGAAGTGGGAAGACACAAAAGAGGCGAACGAGTCGACATCTAACAGAGCTTTGCTCAGATATTAGCTCTGCCTGGTCGGTAATCGGGAAATTCGAATGAAATTTTTCAAGTGTAACATTGGGCTTACAAATCGGTAAGAGATCAGCACGTACTTTTCTTTCTATTAATTAAGCAATTGATGTATAATTTAGCTTCATATGTTGAAGGTTTTGTATTTTTCATTGCGCGAAACTTTGCCAAATCTTTGAATTAATTTCTAGCGCAAATTAATCTACCTTTAAACCATTATTTTCCAAAATCCAAATGTACTAGTGTCAAATTGTCTAGGAACAATAGAACAAACTATACAAGTAAACCCAGCGTTAACATTTGAATTCGAACATCTACTGTTAAAACCATGATGATACCATCATTCCCAGAGTCAAGTGCATCGAACTCTCTCCTTTCTGGACCACCGCTCGCATCACCAGAGGATGTATCAGATAGGCGCAGTAACTCACCCTGGACAGTGGGTACAGGTACTTCCAGGACAGTATTCTATTTATAATCCCTGTAAACGCAGAGCATGTGCGACAGACGTAATTTGAATTTCAACGATTTCGATAAACTAAGCAACTGCTAGATACGCGCTATTCGTGAATACTTTAAATCTGCGCCGCCAACGCGCGCAATCTTTTTCACGCTTTATCGCGGTTGCAAATGTCACGCTTATCGTATCGGATTCTGTAACGACTTTTCGAAAGAATGTAAAAGTCGGTTTATGCGAAACTGCTCGATAAGTTTCGTTCGAATGCCCGCCTCGGTTGCAAACGAGCCGATAAACACGCAGCCGATTCCGGCTGCTAATTAGCGCGTAAAAATCTAGCGGAATAAAGTAAATTGTTTACTGACCGCCATTGCCGGTAACGCAAGCGATCAAGACCCAGCCGATCGCAACCGCCCATCCGGAATGCGAGAACACAGTGTACGCGACGGACATGAATGGTCCGGGAGCTGTTCCGTACAGCCCGTACACTATGCTCAGCATCACGACGAAAGAGATGAACCAGCAGATCAGCGCGATCGTCTGTAATTCAAAGCAGCCACGTAAAACATTCACTGGAGAACCGCATATGTTAACACATTGCGTACGGGCTAATTTTCAGAAAACCGAATTGTGATGGCAATTTTCAGTGAGGTCAACTTATATCAATATACATAGAAAAACTCAGATATCATATTGTTATGTAACATATTTGAAATAGATAATCAATTCGAATTAAGTTTTATATTGTTTTCAATGCCGTGGTAATTAACGAAGTTGCACAGCTAAGTGTCTTTATATAAAAATGTTGCTCAGAAGTCAACGCGGTGAAGTCAATGTTTTGATATTTTCTGATGTCTCTAAATTTTCATGGAATAAATAACATTCCCCTTAGTTATTCAAGGATTTCGTTCCTTCGTTTTTTCTAGGTCAGACAGTCCTTTTTATAGCTCCTGAAAATATTTCAGCTATGAAGCATTTATTCCCAATTTTTGTTTTCTCTACTTAACCGCATTGATTCCTGGGTGACTCAGTCGATCATTAATACAGGAGAAAGTGGATTACGATAGCTTCGACTACAGACGGCTCTAATCAAGGATATTCAGTTAAATCGCAACACAGTCTTAACGACCACTTCCTTCGCGATTCGAGGAAATCGCTAGTGTCTGGCCGGCAGACTGAACTCGCTTGAAATTCTTCGAGGGAATTATAGAACATTCACCTTGTGTATCCTCAAACTACAATTTATCTTGTGCAGGTACCAGCCGGACATCATGCCGAGAAGGTACGGGCCAATCCTGGACCACGGTTTGTCGTAGAGGCTCTCGTAATGAGCGAACGGATCCTGGGCGCTACACTCGGTTTCAGAGACATTCGATTTTAATTGATTCGGTGAAATTGTTGCGAAATCGCAAATCAGATTTCACTCTTCTTATTATGCGTACCTCGGCACATGGTGCGTGCGCAACGCGATGATCGCCGTGATGATCCAGGATGTAACCAGGATGAAGATCGTCATGAAAGCTGCAACCGAAAGGTACCTGCAAAACGTCATTTGGGAACGTTACCGCGACACTTTCGGGCTCGAGTTAATCGATGTCATATACCTTCTCGCAACTATGATGATGATCGTTCCGATGATGTAGAATAAAGTGTCGTTGGCTAAGTACCAGCTCCATATCATGCACTATGAGAACATATAACCGTTTAATACGGTACCGCGGAGGAATTACCTCGTTACTCGAAATCGTACGCACTCGTTCACCCATGGCGAAGTACGTGTTCACGTAGAGAACGTTCCTCCACCAGAATTTCCTGCAGTTTTGGTGATCGTACGCGTACAGGTCGAGTATAGTGTGGTCGTGGTACCAGGACGACGACACCACGATCAGGCCGATCGCGAGAAGATAGGGCGGAGTCAACCGGAAGTACCGGTACATCACTATCCCCACAAACTGGAGGATCTGGCCGCAGAAGTTTTTGATCAGTTTCATCTTCCGCATAGCGTTCTTCGTGATCGTGCGGAAGTAGAGGAACGAGACCAGGCATCCGCTGTCGTAAACACAGAAGTCAACGTTTTATAGAGAATCTTCATTGCATGGGACGAAGTAACTTTTCCATCGATACCTCATGAAGAAAAAGGTGTCCACGCCGTAAGTGCCGTTGCTGATCGTCTGATAGAAGAAGTCTTTCTCCGCGTTGGACTTGAACGATTTCGCCTCTACGGATAAAAACAGACTTGCATGTTTCTAGCTCGATTCTCGAGAGACCGGAATTGAATAGAACTCGAGGAAACATTGAAGTTCAGATACCGGATACCACGTTCACCGTGAGGCAGGTGTGAATCAACATGATCCACAACATGGAAATGAATCGCAGACCGTGGATGGGAGCCAGAGTGTCGTCGCCGACCTCGAGGCTGCAGATCTTCGACAGATTCAGCAACAGGCTGAACGACAACAACGCTTCCGACAACGGTTTCGGGGAGCTGCCCGAGTTTCTCACGTCTGAAAGAAAGCCACGCGAGTCCACGAGTAATCCAAGACAATTCTGTGGTATCTAGAATATTTAGCGTAGATTAAAGTATTGTAGGATGAACGGTTCGTTGTGCGTGCGTAAGGGCGACCAGGTCGTATTGCGACGGACCGGCGCCGGGATGTTTGGAAAATAGTGTGACTGCGTTTAGAAAATCTCGTGTGGCCGAAAGAATACGAGGAAGAGTGTCTGGAACCGAGCGACTGGACCGTGAGAAAAGCGTGTACGCGACTGCGTGAATTTTGACTATGGACGAAAGATGCGAGCGAGAAGGGTGCAAGGGTGAGAAAGACAGAGCGAATAGGGGTGTGTGTTGAAAGCGAGTGGGAATGCGCGCGAGAAGAACATTTTGGCGAGAGACAGCGAAGAACATTTTTGTGCGTGACAGCGAGTCGTGTGTTGGCCTTCGTGGCATTAAGTCGTATTTTTACGTGTTGTCCATATTGTTTCTTTATCTCATTAAATACATTATTTATTCCTAATTCCCTTTTTACCGAAGACCCACCTTTTCAATATCTAATGATAATAGTAACCACTATAATTCGGATCGCGAGGAAGTACCTATAGCGCTGTTGTGTTCCTTCACCGACCACAGCTTGGTGATCGTAATCTTGTCATCCATGATCCGGTCGGTGTGCATGATCTTCAGCTCCGTCGCCGTGTCCCGGGCGTCATTGCTGTTGTACCTCTTCGAATGTAATATTTTGTACCTCAGAGTAATGTCGTAGAAAGTACCCAGACACGTCAGAACAGCGACCACGGTGAACGTAATCCTACGAGCAGTTCACCTTTCAGTGGTCGCGTCTATTCCGTAATCAGCGGATGATGCACAAGCTAATCTATGATCTAAGCAACTGTTCCGAATAGAGGAATCTTACAGTAGAGCGTAAAAAATAGGATCGTCCCAGACGGAGTAACCCTTCGAAAGATTTCTAACGCCTTCGATGACTATTTCCGCGGACGTGCCGTTCTTCCGGAAGTCCTCGGCGAAGAGGAACAGCTCCCGGACGTCCTCCGTGTCGCAGGAATTCGGCAGGCAGAGTCCGAGAATGATTCTGAAAGTCTGTTCAGCGAGAAATAGCGATTGGCTCTAGAGACTCTGTACCTCAATATCAATCAAACTGACTATTTAAATAATTGGTTATTTAAATAAGTGTTCATAGTCAGAAAACTTTGTTACCACCGGCGGCGTCCGTCCTCAAAGGGTCAAAAGCGGATTTACCTTATTCAGTTCCGCGTGCAAAGGATTCAGGGTAAAGGTGACGGACGCGACGTTGACTAAAAACGGTGGTACATCTTTGTTATTATTCTCGACGTCGGATTTCTGCCTGTCGAGGAATTCGGTCCTCATCTCGCGACATTGGTCCAGGGAACCCAACCAGAATATATTTTCAGAGAATAATCCCCAGCTGTGCCTGCCGGTTGCGTCGACCACTGGAAACAATTGAGGCCGAACCATGTAGCTTATTGTCCTCCGAGGAGATCGGCGTTACATAAAAATTACATTCTACGCGGACGCAATGTAAATACCAACGAAATGCTTCCCATCGATTCACGGTACATTACGCTTTGATTACGACGCGACCGTAGTTTCGAATCACCGATGCGATAACGAGAGTATCACTTAACAACTTCCTCAAAAATTCACTTCCTCCTTCAATACGAGGAAGAACTTTCCCGCGTAGTATATTCTTTTTAATGTTGTTACCGCACAGCTCCCGTCAGAATACCGAGTAATCACGAGCCAATTACGGAAACGCATTCCTAAGTAACTTAAATTGCTTTAAATACTGTTACGTTCTCAAATGTTCGTATTATCACCGTCTTTGCTATTCGCTAATTGAAAGCGTTTACCGCGACGAAAGAAAGTCGAGGGGGGCCTATTAAACAGTTTTCTCCCGATGCAATTACGAGAGTGTTATTGTAGGAGTGAAATCATATCGTTTTCAAGCGGCTAGCAGGAAAGTGTCGTTTTTCGGGATAAGATCGGTCTAGATTCGCCTTGGGCACTTCCGGCGCACACACGAAATCGAGCAGTAATTTCCTCATACCGAGATCGTTCTGATTGTACGGGACGTTAATAGATATTTAGTCGATCCGAACGAGATAATTTGCGAGACGGAAATTGCATTCTTTCCCGCTCGATTTGGCGCCGATCGGAATATTTTCCTGATCGAGCACTGATTTCATATTTCCGAGTAAATTCGCGACAGTTTCAATCATCGTGATTCAAAAGCTCTAGGAATTTATTAATGTAAGTGTTTCGATTATTGATAAAGATAAAACTTAATATTCAGTATCATATTTTCCACAACGTAATTAGACACAATGTGTTGAAATAAAATACGTCTATCGATCGATTCGTATATTTCTATTTAATAGGATCGATGATTTACTGAATACTTTATTAGGAATTAATGAATATACGCAGAGAATCATTCGGGTGGAAAGGTTTAACCCTTTTAAAGAGGGTTAGAGATTTTACCGAAGAAAATTGTAAAATTGAAAATTCAATATTAAATTTTATATAATGTACGAACACATGGGACATCAAAAAGTATCATTGACGTTTCATCGAAAGATAATGAATATTTATTAAAGGGTTAATAATAAAAATTTTACTTGCTTTTCATTGCCCATTGTTGCTCCGTCCACACTCCCGCCATATAATCCGTGAAATCTCGTTCGCAGCTGGTGGAAATATTCAGAGATCCCCTAGCATCGGCTTGCCAAAATCTTGCAACTTTCTGAGGATTCCACACGTCTACGAAGTCATCCCAATGGAACGTCGATGTGTTCGATCGAATCGTGTTATTCCGTTTCTCGATATTTTCCTTGAAACTGGTACGGTTATTTTCTAAACTGTCGCCGGTTGTTATTAGCTGCTCATTATTATGTTCCGGTTCATCTTGCGGTAATTTCAATCCACTGACAGACCAATACAAATGCAGTATAAGTAACGAGTACGTTATTTGCATTTTTGACCCTCTGGTGATCGTAATTTCAAAGAAATTATTGGGAAGAACGCGGGAAATTTGAATAAACCGCCCTGTGAACGCTGAACTCGAACGTCAGTTATTCGCGCGGTCAGTTCGAATCGTTCGATAATCCAACAAAACAGTTGTCGATCCTATTGTCAACTGTTACTATCCGGTGGAGGGAATGTCCAGATATATCGGGTGTACCACCTCCCACTTTCGTACGGTAGCTGGCACATAATAGTGCACTCGTAAGTACACGTCTTCTTAACTAGAGTTTTCAAGAGCCACTTTCATTCGGCTATATATCACCGTATTTCTCCCGCCATTTCGACTCGTCACGCTTGACAGAAGGTATGTAAGATACATTACCTGTCTCTACAATTGCCCGGAAAACATTTTAGACCGTTACATGTATTGTTAGAGCAAAAGTTGCTACGCTATAAAAGACAATAAAAACAAATCCGGAAATGTTAGTGATAATTTGAATTTAAAATTTATTCGTTGAGTTTGCGCCAATGACTGTTACACGTTTTCCTCCATCTTTCTCTTCCTTATGGGGGAAATAGGAGATGAAACGATTGTCCACGGAACATAACCAAATTGGATGAGATACGTCTGGGCATTTAAATAATTGACATATTTTAACAATTATGAATATAATAGTTGATACGAAAGGCGACGCAGATTTGAGGACTAGGGAACACTTGATAGAAAGCGATGATGATTTAGAGTTCGAAGATACTGGTAATTGAAAATGTTTTGGAAATGTCGTGACTTTTTAGTGAGGTTAAGACGTTTGACAGATTATTAACGGTATTTATTAACAGGATCCAAACCATCGAAATTCTTTTCCATCGAGGAAGATTTAATTCAAGAGGATGTTACGCCGAAGAAAGTTCATCGTGTCGGAAACAAGGATATTGATCTCGAAGAGTTCGAAAATGAGATGGGTTGGACGGACCAAAACCCACAGAAATACTGTCATAGAAAAAAAGTAAATATCATTTCTTTGATGAGAGACAAAACAGTGGTAGAACAAGTTCTTAAAAACAGTGTAATAAAGCCTGGTTTTGAACAATTGAATGCTATACCTACTTCTGTAATGGGTAAAAGAAAACTGAAGGCTAAGAAACGTAAGGAACGTGAAAGGACAGCAGGCAACAGTTGGTTTAATATGCGTCCTCCTCAAATGACACCAGAGATTAAACATGATCTTCAAGTTCTTCAAATGAGATCTGCATTAGATCCAAAACATTTCTATAAGAAGAATGATCTGAAAGTCATACCCAAGTACTTTCATATTGGTAAGGTTATTGATTCACCTGTGAACTATTATTCAGACCGTCTCACAAAGAAGGAACGCAAGAGTACAATTGTGGATGAACTTATGCATGATGCCGAATTTTCTAAATACAATAAACGGAAATATAAAGAAATCATTGATGAGAAGAAGAAACTGCATTATAAAGCTCACAAACATGCAAAAAGGCTGAAAGGAAAGAAAAAATGACATGTTCAATATGCAAATTTATGTTTATATATCATGTAACCATGGTTAATTATAAAAATATATATATATGTATATATATGTAAAAAATATATTTTTATTGCAATCCCCCTGTAATTGGTATAGGTGCACCATTGATATAGGAACTTTTGCTTGATGCTAAAAATGCTATAACTTCAGCCACTTCTTCCGGCATTCCCATTCTATGGAGAGGTATTCTATCCAGAAAACCTTGTCTTACTTTGTCAGGAACTGGCATTGTCATAGGAGTTTCTATAAAACCTGGTAACACTGCATTCACGCGAATTCCATATCTGCAAAGAAAATGTGTATACCACGAATACCACTAATTACCGTTACTGCTATAATACTTACTTTCCAAATTCATATGCAGCAGTTTTAGTAACAGCTACAACACCGGCTTTTGATGCAGTATAATTAGCTTGACCCATATTTCCTGTATTACCAAGAATAGAGCTCACATTAACAATTGAGCCTCCCTCACTTATTTGAGCTTCAACTATTTGTTCAACTGCAGTCTTCATAACCAAAAAAGTTCCCTTCAAATTCACATCGATTACTTGGTCAAAGGCTTCCTCGGTAAGTTTCAGGATAAACTGATCACGAGTGATGCCTGCAGAATTCACTATGATAGTAGGTGGTTTACTATATTTAGCCTTCGCATTCTCAAATGCTTCCTTAATACTGGCTACACTTGAAACTTCCAAATGTACAGCCAGATGTTGTTTAATATCTGAATAACAAAAGTTACTTAAAATGATATAAAATTAACAACATCATGTAACATTAGTTAAAAGTAACAAAGTTTTATATCCAGACCATTCAAAGACTGAATAGTTTCTTCAGCAGATTGTACATTCCGGTCGGCAGCAATAATTTTGGCCCCCCGGTTTGCTAAGATTTTACAAACTTCTCTCCCTATGCCACTACCGGCACCTGCGATTAGAAAAAATGATAGATCGACAAGTAACAATTAAGTATTCACCTAGATCTTTTGTTTTACAGCTTATATTGTATATTATTTTTAATATATACCTGTTACGAAAGCTATTTTACCAGCAACCATTTTCAATGCTTATCGAAAACTGAAGGGTGCAAAGTCGAATTTTTTAAAGTTCGTTACGTAAGGAGAGGCATAATTGTAATTTATCGGAAAAAACAAGTTTCGATAAGGGTCATTCTTGATTTT